TTGCCTTCTCGATTGTCGTTCTAAACTATTTTCTGCGTGATTTTCTCAATTTTCTCTGCAATATTTATCAGAAACTAGTTATTTTATCTTGATTATGTAAATGTGAATTTTATTGATTTTATGTTTATAAGTTAAGAACTTTAAACGATAGGAAAAAAATAATTTTTATTACTGCACAGATCTTAATTATAATTTATTAATTTTTTTTAGTTGGTGATTAAAAATATTTTTTGATTGCTTAAAAAGTACTTATTTTTTTGTTGAAAAATCTGGCTGCGCACACTGAATAATTACGCCTAACAACGAAATTCCAACTACAATTATCAATTACGATCATATTGCTAGTATTATCGTTAACGATATTTTCGCAAGTGTAGAGGAATTTTATTTCAGTAACGAAAAAATATACCCTTGTAAATACAATATAGTTAGTTAGTGCGAAAATATTATGCGATATACCGTAAAATACAGGTATTTATTATGTTGTGTCGCCATATTAAAATTTCGATAGCGTCCAGCATTCCTCTTAATGTTCCCTTTTTATATTCACACAAGCAAGTAAACATTACCTTGATGTGTCAAGGTTATGTAAACGAGGAATTATTTTTTTTTTCTCTTTGATTCATAACAGTTTTCCGAATAAAAATAATCTCATCTTCTCTCAGATTTTTCTTGTCAAGCAGGAGGGGGGGGGGGGGCTGAAGTAGAGAAGAAAAACAGTCTGCAGTTGGTGATGGTTAAATTATGTTGTTTACGAATCGGTTGCCAATTCAAACAAGACAGTTCAACTTTGTTGCAGTTTTTATTTAAATTTGTTGCTCTTTCATGTAGATCTTTTTGCTATGCATATCAAAAGAGTGCGCTTTTTATTTAAAATTATATAAAATTCAAATTAAACCAAAAACTTGAAGTACCAAGAATTCTAAAACGAGATTTTGGTTTTAAAAAAAGATGTGAAATTAAAAGAATTTTTTTTTCCTTNTTTTTTTTTTTTTTTTTTTTTTTTTTTTTTTTTTTTTTTTTTTTTTTTTTTTTTTTTATAATTAAATTTAGCAAGAATTTTTATAACTGACTGAAAATCTAGTTTTGTCTTTGTAAAATACTAATAATAATGTCTCAAATTTATTGATAAATCTAAATTAAAATGCTGACAAAAAGTCATAAAGCAATGTGAATGTTCAAGAATATCATCTTTTCGGTTTGTGGTATAAATCAAAATCGCCTGTTGTATAAATAAACCAAATTTATCAGAGAATGAATAAATAAAATAATTNTACGTGTTGGCCAAAGAAAATTAATAAGTTTTTCTTTTTTAGATGAATAAAAAAATTTTTAAATGCTTTAAAAAATAATTTTACTTCTTACCATTATTTTTTATTATTTTTCATATTTTCTCAATATTTTAACATATAAGTTCTAAATGTAGATAAAACATGGAAAAAATTACAGAACAATGAAAAAAGGGGTAAAGAAAAATAATAAAAAATTAACATTTTGAACTTATTTTATGAGTTCTATTTACTTGCAGCTTATGCACGATAAATAAAACTTATTGATTTTCTTTTTGTCTTTTTTTTTGTATTTATTTATCATGCTATATATATATATATATATACACACACACACAAAAAAACCCGCCCCGCGGTTTTCCGCAGTAAGAAAACCGTAATCTATTGTTTAATGTCATAAATTATACAAAAACGTAAGCAAACATTTTAGGAAACTAAATATTTACTCGTCTGCACCAAAATTATAGGAATTTAATGAACAACTCTTTAATGAACTGTCTTGCTAACTGTAATATTTCAAGTTTAAATCAACTTAAAAAAAGAAATTATCGAGCCTTGTAATCGCAGAGCATTATCATATTTAAAAAATAAAAAGTTTGAGATAATTTCAGTCAATTGAATGCATACATTTTAATGATAAAGAACGTAAATGAAAAAAACTGCGATCAACTTCAACGTTACCGGTTCTTAACACATTGAGTAATAATAACATTACTGCAATCGAAATAAAGTTTATTTTCAGTTCAAGTGAAAATGTCAAGGTATGTTTAGAAAAACTGGTCTGTTTACTATTGTTTTTTCATTATTCTGTTCTTTTCAATAGTCCTAGTTTACTGATTTGTTGATATTGAAAAGCTTAATAACTTCATCAATTTCTATAACTGTTTGTAAACAAGCGTCTCGGCATGACGTCATCGTGTGATATGACACGCTTATCGTTTGGCAGAGCCAAAGAACATTCTTGTATGTTCTATTTGTTGTTTGTTTGTTTGTTTATATCCTGGATTTCAAGTTATTTTGTTTTATTTAAGCAGCAGTTGCTACAGTTTTTCGACTTAGTAGAAACATTTATTTTCCTATCGTCTGGGTTTTTCCTCACTCGTTTTTTTATTATTTATTTATTCATTATTCATTTTTTTTTCCTTCTGAAATGTATGTTAGGTCAATATGAATCTATTAAATCCCGTTTGTTTTTACACAATAATTGCGTGTTTGTGTTTAACACGTACATGAATTAAGTATAATTACTCATTTTTTTATAGCATGATGAGAAAATAAATTCTGGATCAGTAAAATGAAGAAGAAAAAAAAACGAATTAAAGAAAATTATCTCACCTGAATTATTAATTATTCATGAATTTATAATGAGGGTTATAAAGAATTGTTTAAATATGTTAACATGGTTTGAGGAATTTCCGATTTTGGCTGTAATAATAGGTTTGCAGTTTTATGATTAGCAAACAACTAACTTCTTTTATTAACCTAAAACAAGTTTATTTTATCAGTTGACCAGATAGTGTTTGCTATTTTTCCTGCAAATAGACAGCGTTGCTACTTGTGTTAAATAATTTAATGTATTTTTACACATACATACATAGCACAATAAAGACAAAAAGGAATAAACGAAGAAAGAGAAAAACCAGGAAGTTAAGAAAGTTTTATTTACTGCTCATAAGCTGCAAGTATATGAACTCATGAAATTAGTTTTAAAAATAATAGAAAACTTGGAAAATAATTGAGATTAATGAAAAGAGAAGAAATAAAAATTATTAAATAGTCGGAAAACAAATTATTGAAAAGGTATCTTGTCATCAAGCTCCACTTTTTTGCTTTGGCTATACTTATGCAATATTAGAAAGCACTCCTTTTTGCAGATATATTAGTGTGAGCTGATAACGAGATTATATCTTTTTAACAATTTGTTTTTTTTTGTGGCTTTTTTATAATTTTTTTAAATAAATTCTTTTTTTTAAATATTTTTTAAGCATATTTTTATGTTAATAATTTTTCTTCTCTTTTCATTAATCTTTATTATTTTCCATATTTTCTCTAATTTTTAAATTTTTTAGATATATTGCAAAAAACTTATTATTTTAATTACAAAAATTTTTGCTTATAAAAACTGAATCATTTCCTAACAAAGAAAGAAGAGCAACGCTCTGAAATAGTTTTTTATCTATACAATCAAAACACATAAAAATTCTTTATATTTTCTATCGAGCTGAATAGTGTTAAGCGCCACCTTTATTTCGTTCGAGAGAGCCCCCAACATCCGTATTCAATATGTATCGTGTTTGACTACATCGCGTATTACACAATAACATCGCATTCAATAATTACCGTAATCTACAATACAGTGAGACCTGTTTTTGTGCGGTCCTTTTTTATGCGATTCTGTTTTTGTGCGATTGGTTTTATGCGATTTTATTTTTGTGCGATTTTTTTTGTGCGAATTATTTTTATGCGGTATATGAATCTTAACGGCGTTAGCACCAGTTTAATGTTTCCTATCAATGTGCATATGCATGTTGTGGACGAACTCTGATTACGTGGTCTCCTTGACAACGATGTATCTGAACTTCGCGATGCTCTGTTTATTTACTTTCATTAGTTCATTTATTATCGTCAACTCCATTTTCTCTTCTGTTTAAAATTTATTCTGCGCTAAACAAGTTGAAGTAAATCAGTAAAAAATCGTTTGCTGTGTTAAAATACTTAGTATTTTAAAATTAAACCGTTATTTTTATTTTGTAAATTCTCGTCTGCGTGTATCTCAAATACTATACGCTTCGTATTCAGAGTTTTATACACGATTCATTAGATTAAGGATTCATTTTATAGTGAGATTAAAGGTAAAAAAATTAATTACTTTTGTTTCTATTTATATGTAGTTTTTATGATTTTTATTTTATTTTATCTGATCACTGACTTTATGGTACCAAAAAACAAATCAATTGAAATCCTATCTTCAAGCGATTTTCAACCAATTCATTCCAAGAAGATGCGCGTTTTGGATTACGACGAGTAGCAGCAAACTATTTAATGTATAATTTGAAAACTTCTACATGTATATGTACAATGAAGAATTAAATATTTTTAAAATTTCTTTAGGTCTAATTTAATTATTTAATTTTATTGAAAGCATTCTCTTATCTATTTCATAAATCATTGATGTATTTTCTGAGTCCGACTTTTTTTATGCGGTCCCTATCAACCGCATAAAAAAAGTTTTTGGTGGTATATGGTACAAACTTGTTTATTACATGTCAGAATTTATAAAATTTTCGAATTTTTTTTTGTGCGATTTCTTTTATGCGGTCCCTATCCACCGCACAAAAAAAGGTTTTACTGTATTTGCTACATCATCTTAATATGTTGTTGATAATGATCGCGATGTTATCGCAGTCATAGTTAAAGTTTTTAATAAGAACCTTGATATCATCGTAATCAGTACGTATTGTTATCGTTAATGATCGTGATATTGCGGTAGCTAGTGATCTGTGTAAATCTGAATCTGGCGTTGTTTCTACGTGTTGGTAAACTTTCCTTTGTGATCCTTTTACTGATTTAAATACTAAACGATAAATTGCTGATTTTGTTATTTATACCTCTATCTTATCGAAATATTATTTTTTAAATTACAGTATTAACACAGCCATGTATTAAGTAGTAACTATTTGTGTTACTAATGTATATTATTTTTTATTACAGGTGTATAATTAGATTTCCGAGTACAAATATCAAAATAGTATTTCAGTCACTGATTGATGAGGGAAGTCCAACCAGACCAACTCATGAATTGATTGTTCCAAAGCCTATGGCACCATTACGAATAAAAATTCCGGAACCCGATATACCAAGTATCATCAATAATAATGATCGATTTATAAGTCCAGCTCCATCCCCTACAGGTACAATAAGGTTTGTGTGCATTATTTCTAAACATTTCATTGAATTAATTATTTTTATGTCATGAATGTTTTCCTGGAAGAAAAAAAAACTTCTTGATTCAATTACTCCTTATTCTTGGAGTCCCAATGAATATAAATTTTCCCGGAATGTATATTTTCTCATAATCAGGGAATGTATATTTACTCATAATCAAGGATCTACAGAAATTCCAAATATTCAGAGCCAGAACCAATTGTAAGGAGTCAATACTTCGAAAAATCGCAGGCATGTGATTCTTCCGTGACACAATTTATGTTCTGAAAATATTTTCTGGGAGTTCGTCAAATCTAAATTTTAAAATTTGTAACTTACTCAAAATCTCGTTAATGAGACATTTATTCCACCCTATCCTCTTTTTCTTTTCTTTAAAAGAAAAGTTCTAATTTCTTCATAACATTCACGCTCTACAATCTTTTTTTCACAGATTTGTTAGAGAAAAACACAACTTCGGTTAAACTTCGAGGGGGAAAAAATCCCTAATAACTTCTGCAAGAATTAATGAATTATCAAAGCAAACATATAGGTATATATAATTGATTATCTAAAAAGTAGTTTCGAAATGGCAACATTTAAATAATCGTTTGCTGGAATTTTTTTTTATTTTTAAACTTAGCTATTCACATTAAGCTATTCACATTAGCTATTCACAAACTAATCAGTAGCTATTTTGTTGCAAATTCCGATTTGCAACGGAATAACTATTTTAGCACTGTGAAATAGGTTTTCTCTTTTTTATTTTACAATTAGATTGAATTTATTTTTAACAGACATTTACTTAGACATTTCGAATTCACGCATTTCAGGAATCACTTTCTGACACGCTCGCTACCATTGTAATTCCGTGTTTGGATCTTTTTTAGTCAGTTAATTTATTCAGTCATTATTTTCAGTTAATGCAATTGATTTTCTCATAGTTTTTAAAATTCCGATATTATTAGATACGCAAAATTTGAATTTCGCATTTGAGTAACCATTTTTTGATGCACTCAATTTGGATCGATATCATCGTAAATCTGTGCGGTCTTTTGATCATTTTATCGGCTAATATTGATACAAATTATCTCAATGTTTTATTTTTTCTAAAAATCTTTATTCATCATTATTCGCACATGCAAATTTCAATTCGTACACTTATTAAAGCGACGATAACACTGTATTTTTGATCGACTTTTTCAGTTATTGCTAATGATATCCTCCTGGTCTCTTAAATCCGGATATTTTCATACGATATTTAAAAAAAACCAAATTCGAATCGCGCATTGAAGTAAATACTTTTTGAAGCGTCCGATTTGCGCTAAATCCATGTGACGTTTGCGATCGATTTTTTATTTATTTATTATTATTATTTTTGCTGTTATTGCCATTGCATGATTTTTTAAAATCCTGTTATTATTATGATGCGGGAAATAGGGCACCTGAGTATTCACTAATTTATGCGATAATTATATCTTTTTTTTCTGTCAATTCTTCAGCAGCTTTCACAACTGATTTTTGCAGGTTTTTAAAAATCTCAATATTTTTAACAGGATATTGAACAAAACGTAAATTTAATTAACCCCTTCTTGATGTGTCTGTATCCACGTCATTTAGTCATAAATACAAGTGATTTTATCATCAATCTTTTTTCATTTATTGCCATGGCAATGATTTTTATTATTATTATTTTTTTTTAATGCAATAGGAAAAGGGAGAATTTGAATTTTTTTTTCAATGTAAATAAATTATTTTATGTGTTTATAAGAAAAAAATTTATTAAGAAAAAATGTTTTCTTCCTCTCTTTAAATTTTATACATCTTGCTTTTCTTTTAAATGAGTTTTTTATTTATCTTCTATGTAAAAGAAGAAAAAATTAAGTACTAAAAAAATTACACAGCAAGGGGAAAAAAATTAGATAATTTATCCTACCAGCAATCACATACCTGGATTTTTAGGATAAAAGGGATTAAAAAATATTACGCTTTACAAAAATATTAAATGCCAACTGCATTTTTTTTTCCATCTAGAATTTGTAGCCCCCTGCAAATAAAAATAGGAAATATTTTTTTGGAAAAGCATGAAATGCAATAGCATTCTTAAGCAAAAAAAAAATAAAGGATGTCTGTCTTCATTTAATTATCTAATTGAACAAGTAGATAATTAATTTTAATTTAATAATTTTATTATTGGAATTTTAAATATGTGCAGAGAATGGATACAACCTTTCAAGGAGAACTGACTTTGTAATTTAAAAAAAAGAAAATTACATGCTTTGATTCAAAAATTAAAGAAATAACTTCCTTCTTGGAGCGAATTATCTTTTAAAATTCTAGCTGCAGCAGGCCAGTCATTGGGAATTTTTTTAATTTGGAAATAAGAACAAAAAAAATCAGGAGTATTTCTTTCCTTTCCAATGAACTAGAAAAGTATCTTTAGAATATTATTCTGCAGAAAAAACGAAGAAAATTTATTTGCTTTTGTATTTTTTCAGCTATTTTATTACTTTAATTCTTTCATTACTCTGTTTTTTAAATTTAAAATCTATAAATATGAAGATGCAGAGTATATCAGTTTTAGTTATACCTATCATTTCAATTAATGTTATTGTACTTTTTAAATTTATTGGGTTATTTTGCCTAGAAAATAGTAACTTTGTTAAGTTATGAAAAATTCTTGAAATTAGTCATGAATTTGAAAATCTGAAATGTAGCAGAAACCCTGTATATGTGTGTACTATACATATAAAAACTGTATATATATAATAATTTTAATGAAGAATATTTTCAACAAGTTACTTTTTATTGCAGTGCTGCCAATTCTTGTCCAGCCAGTCCTCGTGGCGGTTTAAGCCGCCGTAATATAACCAATGAGCTTCAGATGGTGGCTGCATATGCGGCTGTTGCTGCTGTCTCCAATAATAAACCTGAACAAAAGACACTTTCTTTCAGCAACGAATATTCCACTAATAATGGAGCAGCAACTATAAAAGATGACAAACCACCCTATTCATATGCTCAATTAATTGTACAAGCTATATCTTCTGTGCCAGACAGGCAATTGACTCTTAGTGGAATATATTCATACATTACTACAAATTATCCTTTTTACAGAACGGCTGACAGAAGCTGGCAGGTGAGTCCATGAGAATTAATAAAGTATATTTAAACATTTCAAGCTATTTACCTTTTATCAAATAAGTGCATTAGCATAATGCTAATGCACTTATTCTATATCACATTCTATATATATTCTCTATTACATTCTTATTCTCTATTACATTCTTATTCTCTATCATTAAATATAACCAATTGCTTACAATGAAACTTATTAGCTGTAAAGTCGCTAACAGTTTTAATGTTTCTGCATGGTTGCGACTCCCCAGGGAAAACTTGGAAATTGCAGGGTTCTTATTTTCGTCTTTTAACCCCTTAACTGCTGAGTAAAATTAACGTGATTCACTACCCAGTGCCACCGTTTTTCGCTCAAGTGCACTTTCTTACACAGTGTTTTGGTGGGGGGAAATGATGCACGCTTTGCAATTTAAAAACAGTTTAATTTTACAAGACAAGAAAAAGGAAAGAAACAAAATACAAAATTTAAATTAAATAATAAAAATACAATATAAAAGATGTTAAAACTTAGCTGTTGTATGATGAATCCTGAAACATGGTTGGACACATAAAAACTTCACATTCATCGCACTGATAGCGGGATTCATGACAAAATTTTTTTCTTGAACAAACAGCACATTTTCGCGATGCATTTTTCTTTGAAGACGTTGCTGGAAAGAATAAAAAGCACCAAATACATACGGGAAACAAAAGCGAAAAAAAAAAAACGGACCTTACTCAAATAAATACACACAAGCAATTAATACGATATCACTTTTCCATAACATCTTTTTCCCAGTCCCCCTCCTCCGAAATTAGTAATACATTCGCAAAGCAAACACTTTGAAGGCCATTTTACTGCATTCTGAAGTAGGGGGTGTAGTTCTATTTATAGCAGCGCAATGCAAAGCATCGTACTTCGGGAAAGCGTATATATACGCCTGCGGCAGTTAACGCATCGTCTGGCCGAGACGTATATATACGCCCGTGGCAGTTAAGAGGTCTTTTAAAAGTGGTGACCACTCACGGAATATTTATGGATTATATTTCGGCTATACTAAATTATTTCAATTATTATAGCTTTATTTGTTTTAAGTATGTTAAGCTGTTTCCAGGGCCCGACTTAGCCTAATTGGGGTCTGGGCCAAAATCTTCTTTGGGGGCCTCCTTCTGCTTCACTACTTCAGTAGGGAAGAACTGAACTTAATGGAGGTATTTAAAATTTTCTCCTCATTATAGATAAACAGGGTGATTCTAAAAAGATGGGCAAAATTTTAGGAAGTGATAGAACACACCCAAGCAAACAATTTTTATCAAAGAATGCATAGTCGAAAACAAAACGCAAAACCGCTAGAGGGCGTCGAAATTTGTACTTATAAAAGCAAATTTAATGGCATGTGATTACAACAAGTGTTCAAAACAGTGGCCGGCAGCGGCTATGCACGCAGTACAACGGCGAAGAAAAGATAAGCGAGCATTCTGAAACACACCAGGCATATCACGAGCTTTCCTTGCAGCGGCCGAAAGCTTGGGGACAAGTTCTGCAGATTCAATAGGAGTCTCATACATAAGAGCCTTCCGCTGTCCCTACAAAAAGCCAGTTATTTTTTTAATATTTTTAGACTTTATAGCACTCGAATCAGCAGCTTTTATGTATAAATCGTGACGAAAAATTTTCATACGAGCTCTTCTTCTTCCCATAACATGCAAATAATAACTCGCAACAGGAATGGAGCTTTCACGTTTGCATCAAACAACTTTCCAAATGCGCCAGCACTTTTGCGTTTTGTGTTCGACCATGCATTCTTTGATAAAAATTGTTTGCTTGGGTGTATACTACTATCACTTCCTAAAATTTTGCCCATCTTTAGAATCACCCTGTGTAACAAAAAAATTGACTAAAACCTAAAATAGCTATAAAGTGCTCCCCCCCTTTAATGGTCAGGCGGAATATCGTTCTGTCCATTTTATTGATTTTCTGACAATTCTATGTCCATCATGCCGAATGCAATTTTGTTATTGTTAATATTGTCATCCAGCTGCGAAAGATTTGTGTCCTTGCTGACATCAGGGCAGAATTCAGCTGAGTTTTCGCATTTACGATGGCTCACTTTAGCCAATCAGAAACCTGTATTTTTGACAATATATCGCATTTTGCTGTATGTAAAAATGCAGGATTTTGATTGACCAAATTTGTCCATCATAATTGCAAAAATGTAGCTGAATTCCGCCCATAGAAAGCTATGAATTTATGAAATATGGATTAATGAAGAAGCAAACATAAAACTGACAGATTTTTCACTGTACTGATATTTTGTTTTAAAAAAAGTTTATTAAGGAAGGAAACGTAAAATGAACTTTCTATTTGATTTGGGGGGGCTCACTCTGATGTGTGGGCCCAGGGCAACTGCCCCGTATGCCCCTGCCTTAGTCAGGCTCTGGCTGTTTCTTATTTCTTTATGTTTTTCCAGCAATTAAAACTAGTTTAGCTAGACTTATATAGGTTAATCAAGAGCAATCCAGTGTGTTTTAAATTTAAAAAAAAAATCTAATAGAAATTAACTATGTTTATATAAAAATAATTAAGAACATTTTACTACTTCATTTCTTACTGCAGTATCTTAAATTTAGAAATTGTGAGCAAACGTGTAAATGATGTTAAGAACAAAACTTATCTGTAACTGTAATTTTTAAAAAAATATTTTTTTTAATAATTTTATAGGTAGAAATAGCAAAAATTTTTAAAAAGACAGTAATTTAACTGTGCTAAATTAAACAAGCCTGTTTCGCAAACATTTTATCAATTTCTTTGAATTAAGTAATGTGTATTTTTCTTCATTCTGCCCCTTTATTGCCTTTTTGTTATAATTTGTCAGTTATTTTATTTACTCATTGATAATGATTTTTTTTCTAATTTTTGAATTATCTTATAAAATGAATAATAATTTTGGGTAATTCTAAATAAAAACGAAAGTTTATGCATCAATTCATTTTTACACATGGACACATCCAGGTAGTACCAGGGGAAACTCCAGGCATACCAGGTGCCCTTGAAAATCTTCCTTTTTATAAATTGTGTTAAAAAGACTAAGAAACAACATTGTTGTATAAATTTTCTAAAATATATTCTACGGTATAAAGTTTGTATTTTGTTTTTCTTTCTATAAATAGTGATTGATTACCATGCAAACAACAATAATTGAAATAGTTTATCACCAGGAGAACTTAAAAAGGCACCAAAATCTAATTTTCTAGATAATCAACCATAGTGCATAGCTTTTTTAAAAAGTGCTTAAAGGGGCTTATTTTCAATTTTTGGTGTTAAAAATTCCTCAAAGGTGCTTTTTTTATTGGGGTTTTTTCAAAAGTGCTGAATTTTCCCTTTCCAAAAATGCTATTTTCGAAAACAGAATGTCTATTTTCGCTATGTATTATGCAAAAGTGTGCTTTTCACATTGTTCTTTACAACATTTTCACTGTTCATTCAACCACAATTTATTTCGGTGTACCGTCCGTCGTTAGCATATGATAAGCAATCATTTTACATGCTTGATGAAATACTTGCAAGTCTGCATGTGCGTCTGCTAAGCTGGGTTCGGTGAGATTATTGCACTCTTATGTGCAACTCTGCTGCATTTTGCTTAATATTCTCAAAGTAATAAAATTCCGTTAATAAATTTTTTTTTTTTAGAATTCCATCCGACATAATTTATCCCTCAACCGTTATTTCATGAAAGTGCCAAGATCACAGGAAGAACCGGGTAAAGGATCATTTTGGAGGATCGACCCTTCTTCTGAAGCAAAACTAGTGGAACAAGCATTTAGAAAACGTAGGCAAAGAGGCGTGCCATGCTTTAGAACACCTTATGGAGGGCTGTCGTCTCGGTAACTCTTATTTGCACTCTATGTCGTTTTATATATTAATGTTATGTATTTATTTCTATATAATTTTTAAACATTTTGAAGCTTGTTTAATTTAATTTTAAAAAATTTGGTTTATACGGATGGTATTTCTTATAGTTAATCAGAACGTGTTTCTAAATCTTAAGAATAGGACATATTTTTATAAGAATAGGATATAAATTTGTTCTGACTTATCTTTACTTATTTCAATTTTATGTGGTAAAAGTTTTCTTTTAATTGCTACATGAATGCTTTTTTAAAAATTCTTAATTTCTCTCTGATAGAATCAGAGTTGGCAAGGTTTAGGACCGAATTGAATAAACCACAGTTTAAACCGTCTTGTCCAAAACCCTTTTATTCAAAATATGTCACAATTTAAAAAAAATATTGTGAAAAATAAAGGGTTAATTTTTGAACGGGAAACATGAAGACAAGTTTTTGTTTTATTAATTATTACTTTTAATATTGCATTATTTATCCTTATACAAAAACATAATTTATCAGTATTAAAAGCATAATTATTCGTATTTAAGGGTATTCACTTTTGTTGTTCATTGATTTGCAGAGATTAATAAGTTTTGAATCTTTGCCTGCTATTTTCCTTTAATGAGTTAAAGCAAATTGCATAAAAAGTATCAAATATTTATTAATACATGGACATTGTCCACAGATTCTGCAAAAAACTTCTTTTTTAAATGAATGAATATATCTGCCATATTTAAGGAAATAATATCATATTTCTGTAACTTCACAGTGCTATGTCCTCAATATCATTTGTCTCTGATTGAAACCTTGTCATGCTGTTGTAAATATGACTATTCAAATTGAACTTCTGTTCGTCTGCAGCAATATTTACGATACATAGTTGCCAACCTTACCAGATTTTGCCAGTTTCTACTGTTTTAATTAAAATTCTCCTGATTTTAGTACATTTTAGAAAATTCCCTAAAATTGAATAAGTTTCCTAAAGAAAATCCCTATTGAAATAGAATTTTTGTATAGATTATTGCTTGTTTGAATATTTAAATAAGTATTACCAATACATGATGAAGTGAATCTCATTTATAGAAATCAGTTCAAAACTTTTTTTGTTCTAACATGTTCAGTTTATTTTTATTCCGAACTCTCTTTTAAATTAATTAAAAAAATCTTTTAACTATCTTTGATGAATTAAATGCCTATCAATATTCGAAATTTTGTGTAAACATAATACATAATATTTCAAGTATGTTTTAATGTCTATCATAACTGTAAAATTTCCTATGTGTGAAAGGTTTAGTACATTACAGGGTTGGGTTTTTGCCGTCAAAAACTGGTTTTTGGCATGACAGTGGTAAAAACCGTGTTTTTACCAGTAAAAACTGTCAAAAACCTACTGTTTTCTTTAATTTATGGCATATAGCGGACATTATATTATTTTCACTTAATTGCCTTTATAAATGAATGTTGTAAACAATTGCTATTGATTTTGCAACTATATACATGTATTCTTACAGAAGGATATACATTCATACAGAAATATTGTAATATACTTATTGAAAATAGTGATACTTAACTTTTATCATTATAGCTTGATTTGCAAAGGATTCAAAATTTTGCACTTCTTAATTGTTAGAGATAAACAAACAAACAAAAAAAACTTGGAACTATTAATAAATTCAAGAACTAAAAAGAAGAATTTAAAATTTGGCATTTCTTAAATATTAGAAATAAGCTTAACAAAACTTTCAAAACTTGTAACTACTAACAAACTCTAAGTCAGGAATGACTTGACATTCTTCAGTAATGTAATATGCCAAACAAAATGATGCTTGGAAATGTTGAAAATTTTGTTTAGTATCCTAATATTTTACTTCAAATAGTATGATTTGATATAATCATGTTGGGAAAATGCAAAAATCTGCTCGTAAATATCTTTTAACAACTATTTTTCTAATTGTATTGCCTAAAAATGATTTAATTTTAAATCATAAGCAGTTAAACTCAAATTAAAATACAATTTTATCAAAACTATGGGTTTTTGACATGACGGTAAAAACCATGGTATAAACCGATAAAAACCGTCATGTGTCAAAAACTTGCCAACCCTGGTACATTATGCAACAATTATCATAAAATTTTATATTATTGCAGTTTTTCTATTTTGATGATCCCTAAAATGTGAAATATTTATAGAAGGAATTCTTTGTAGGTCTGCTCCTGCATCTCCAAGTCACAATGGTATGAGTGGATTAGTGACTCCAGAATCGTTGTCTAGGGAACCAAGTCCTGTCAATGAAATCCAAGAATCTGAGGGTTCATATCCCCCACAACACTTCTCAACAACCTCATCATTCATACCGATTTCTGTTGGGGAATCAAAATCTATATCTAATCCAGGATCACCTCGTAAGTTCCTCTACTACTAAAATTTCTGATAATTATTGAAGAGTTTTTTTTAAAAAATCTTTTTTATCAAATATTTTCTAGACCAGTGATTCTCAACCTTCAGTGTTGCCACTCCAGGGTAAACCTGGAAAATACAGAGACTTTAAAAATCACTTTAAATAACAGGGAATTTGAATTTTTTTCTTCTTTATGAACTGAGAATTTCGTTTCTTTGTCCTTTAAAAAATGGGGTCCCCTCAAAGGGTAATCTGTGAGATATTTAAGGATGATATTTCAGCTATACTAAACTATTTCATTTACTACAGAATTATTTAAGTATGTTCAGTTGTTCCTTTTTTTTTTTCTCTTAAGTTTTTCCAGCAACTAAAACTAATAAATATATCTCACACAAGAGCACAGTAATTGTTGTGTTTCCTCTAAATATATTTTGTATTATATGTACAGAAAAGACAGTGAATTTTTGTTCCTGATTCAACTCTGACCTTTTTGAACAGCACAAAGAAAAAAGTTTATAAGTTGTTTACCTACGTTATAATACACTGTGTTAAATAGTTTATAATAATTTTGAATTTAAACTAAAATAAAATTTACTACAAAAACAACAGTACATTTATTAAGGGATTAATTAGTTCTTTGTGCAGTTTTTTTTCGCCTTTTTTTCCTCACATTGCTTAATAGTTCTTTTGTTTTGTATTTTATTTGTTATTAACTGTTATTTTTTTTCCTAGTTAATAATTGTTAACTTGTTTTTTATAGTTATAATTGTTATTATTATTATTTATTTTTTTTACATTAAATGTTATTTTCGTGATCAGATACAATAAACTATTGCATCTGATCTGGAACGCCAAATAAAGTGGGGAATAAATACTGATTAACAACTCCCCGCAAATATGTGACTGGCTGCTGAGACAATCCTCCAGGCCACGTGCTAGTGCGTGATTGGCTTATGTGGCATCACATCACATTGGCAGCAAATATGTTTAAGTAATATGTGTGACTGCTATTTTTTTTTTTACTTAAGTTATAATAAAAAGTATGTAAAGGCGTGGTGGCTCATGGCATAGAGCGCTGACCTTCCAGCAAGGCGACCCTTGTTTGATCCCTATAGTTAGGTGGAGAGAGCATTTCTAAGTTTGGACACATTGATGTAAACTTCTTGCATATTTTACCATATCTTGAGAAATTTTTTTAACAGATTGAAATTTTTTTTTGCACAAATATAAAATTGAATTAACTTACAAAATGAATCTTATAACTGTGTGCAAAAAGTAAAATTAGCATTAACGGGAGCCAAACTATTGGAACAATATTTCCCAGATTGCAGCTGGCTATTTTAGGGGACAGAAATCTGAATCCACTGGAAAAAATATTTTTCGTAACTTAAAATATCGTCTGGACTTATTAATTAACCTGTTTGTGGTCACCCCCTCATACCCTTAAGATTGAGTCCTAGAATGTGAAGATCCAATCATTTGATCAAAAGTTATTCAGGGTGGTTCGTTTTTTACTTTGCCCACTGTACACTCACTAAAAATATTTAAATAATTTTAATAGTGAATGTTATCAATGAAAAATTCACTTTAAGTTGTTAGTTTTTTTTATCATGCTTCAGATTTTTCAGTATTTTTTTAACAGAATTTAGTTTTTTTAAGCAGTGCTTTCAAAGTTTTTTTGTGTATTTGTGCATTAATATCTAAAAACATGTAAATAAATTTGTATCTCAGTATCATTTCTGTATTTTCCGATCCAATTGGATCACATATCAGTTTTATGTGTAACATAAGTCTATTTTTAACGTAAAAATCTCATTAATTTTGATTTTGAACTTTTGTGTTACTTTTCATTTAATGTTATATATGATTTAATTTTCAGGCCATTTTATAAATCCATCAGTCCCACAGAATATCAGTAGTAGTCTTCAGCCATCTGCTCATTATATTAAACCAAGAGCTTATTTCCCCACTTCACAAACCATGGCCATGCCTAGCAACGGGATACTAAGCAATGGAGTACATGATGATTACCCACATGGTTGTGGTGAGTTCTATCTTTTTATTTTTTACAACCCATATGTTGCTTGAGTTAAAATGCTATGGGAAGCTAGTAATATGCATATTAATTTGCAAATGTAATATCACCCATCCCAGAAATACATAATTTTTTTGCTGTTGTGAATAAGTCAAATTTATACAGTTTGAGGAATAATGAAGCATTTATTCAATACGATTTCAATTTAATTTCATTTTAAAAACCAACATTAAAACATTGTTACAAACATGATTAGAATTGTAGACATTGTTTTTCAAAAAGGAATGAAGTACTTTTCTAAATTTGTAGAGCAAAAAATCTTTGAAAGGACAACATTAACTAGAGAATAAAAAAAAACTTGCTATCGTTTGTTGCAGACTAGTTAAATGTAATACAATAGATTTTGGCATACATAATGTAATCAAAAGGGAAATTCACAAAATGATCTTAAAGCAATTATTATTTCTTTAAAATTTGTTATATACCTTTAAAATGAAACTTTATTGTAACCTATACATAATACTTTATACATTTTGTTCTAAGGGTTCAGTAACAAATACTATTCTTATAATGTTAATAAAACCCGTTTAGATTGTTTAAAAAAAAAAGCAACTTTCCGCGTCTATGATTCCGTAACTGCCGAGTCTCCTATTTTTTAATGAAGACTCCTGTATTTTACAACTATCTCCTGTTTATCCGTATATTCTCAAATTTCTCCACATTTGTTGAAGAAATTAAAACAAATAATATTTTGATGAAAAAATATCCGCTGATGGCAAAAATGCTTCTCTTATTCCTCAACAGATGATGCTATTGCCACTACTGTAGTATATTGAGTGTTAATAGTTTTAGTTGAGTCGTGCCGACTAAAGGGATAGAGTGTTGGCCTTTCAATAAGGTGGAACAGAGTTTGAAACCCAGTAGTGGCTGGTCGATACGAATTCCGCATCCTGCTTGCACCGACCACAATGATATAAAATATCCTCAGTGGTAGACGGATCATGGGTCAGGCTAACCATGGGAGTTTTTTGTGATTTTCCTCACCATGTAACTGGATTGGGTTCAAAATTAGAAGGCTACGGAGTTGAACATTGATAGTTGTAAACCCAAAAATTGATTTGTGCATATTTTTTTGCTTCGCTAAATGTAAGTGCTTATATTATTTTCAATTTAGAATTTCTCTTTTTGATTTACATGACTATGCATAATGTATTAAAACTTTACTCGTGGCCTAAGAAATGTGGCTAGTAAAATCCTTGTTATTTTATTTCTCCAATGTCGGCAGGTACACTACCGGTCAAAAGTTTGCGAAAATTTTGAAATCTACAAAAAAAAGTTCTAAATTCAAATGTTCATAGAACTGCGAAAAATCATTCAAATGGCATGAAAATTTGATATGTTCTAATGTGAACTCTTTACAGTTAGTTACATATGATCAAATTGCAATACTTTGTTTTTTGCGAACTGAATCCACCTTTTCATCATGAGTTGTTTCTATGGTGAAAAAAGTTGTTAAGTTTGAACACTTGCCAAACTTGCAAAAAAAATTTTTTGTACTTTCTGTTAATAGAAAATAGTTATTTGAACAGTTCTATGTAAGTCCTCAAAATTTCAAATCGATTTGATTTTTTTTGACGAAGTTATAGAATTTTGAAAAACATGTGTACTTTTCTCGATTTTTAAGCATTCCACATTTGCGGTCCTTTGGTCTATACATCTTCGACCAAAGAACTTTTTAATTTTAATGTTTTCTATATTTTCAAATAATTAATATTGATTATAAAACAAATATTCTTATTTATTATTGTAATTATTGTTACTACAAGGAACTTATTATGAATATAATTAAAACAATATCTCATAGATGTCACATTTCATCTAAAATTTGTTTGTTCTTGCAAACGATGCTCTGATATTTGAATCGAAGTCAGTTATGGGACATTTTACAACAGGAATGGAACTCTATATCACTTGAAGTGATTAATGGTTTATTAGAACGAATGCTATGCATATGTAAGGCTATAATAAAAGCAAAAGGTGGATGGTTCGAGGAATCTAAGATTTAAATGTTAATTTATTTAATTACAAAATACGAATAAGAATATGTTAAATATTTGACCTGTTGTAAATAAAATAGTTTAATAAAAATGCAAATTTTTTATACTATTGTTATTATTTTTTTAGAATTATTTATGTAATTATTGTTATAACTTTTTAATTTAATTTAATATAAAGTAAAAATATCACAACAAAACTAATACAGGTAAGCAATAAATATAAACAATAAATATAAACAATAATAATTACAATAATGAATAAGAGTATTTGTTTTATGATAAATATTAATTATTTGAAAATATAGAAACATAAAAATTAAAAAGTTCTTTGATAGAAGATGTATAGACCAGAAGACTGCATATGTGGAATGCTCAAAAATCGAGAGAAGTACACATGTTTTTCAAAATTCTATAACTTCGTCAAAAAAAATCGAATCGATTTGAAATTTTGAGGGCTTACATAGAACTGTTCAAATAACTATTTTCTATTAACAGAAAGTACAAAAAATATTTTTTGCAAGTTTGGCAAGTGTTCAAACTTAACAACTTTTTTCACCATAAAAACAATCCGTGATGAAAAGCTGGATTCAGTTCGCAAAAAACAAAGTATTGCAATTTGATCATATGTAACTAACAATAGAGGGTTCACTTTAGAACATATCAAATTTTCATGTCATTTGAATGATTTTTCGCAGTTCTATGAACATTTGAATTTAGACCTTTTCTTTGCAGATTTCAAAATTTTCGCAAACTTTTGACCGGTAGTGTATGTCATACAGAAATACTATTACTGACATTGAACAAAAATATCGCAATTTCGTTTTCATATTTCGTTTTTAGAAGATTATTTTACAGTTTTGGTTAAGTTTAAGGATTTGTTACAGTTTAGGTAACACACCTCAAACAGCACTTTTGATGTTAGACTGAGAAAATTTGTTTGTTTTCAGTTTATAAAACAATTACTAAAGCTGAAATGCAAAGTGACCCCGAATGCGAGAACACCCTATAAAGTTAGCGAAATCACAACCAATACCAACATTTGAAAAGGCATTAAAAGCAATGTACTGTATTCATGCCAGTGTACGGAAAACGAATGGCAAGCTGTTACACATGTCAAAACTTTATTTATTTGTGCTGACGAGAAAAAGAGCATATTTAAACCCAAAATTTTCAAATATTCTAAATAAATAAATGTGTTAATTCATTTGCACGATAAGTATTGTTACATTACATAATTTTTTAAACTATTATTATTAACTGTTTATTATTTTTCATAAAATAACTTAATATTTTACGGTAACCCACTATCGACGTTTTCCCCCCTGTATCTCTTGCAATGAATGGTCCTATTAGAAACAATTGGTCAAAGTCCTACTATATTACACATATGGGGCTGCTATCTTTCAACACTTTTTGGGAAAATTTCTTCTAATGGTAACTAAGTTTGTTTTAATGTATTAATTTTTGTTTCTCTCTGTTCTGATTTCATATTATTTTCAACACTAATTGTAAAAGATACAAAAGTTTAGAAGAACCTTTTTTGTCCACAGTGAAGCTTTTCAAATATTGGTAAAATTACCATGATTAATTCTTCTGATTCAATCTTTAGTTTTTAATTGCCTACCATTCTGTGAAATATTTTGCCATAAGCATAGGAGTTAGCACTCTTGTGTGTTCCAAGATTAGATTTCCTTATTTATTAATTTCCTGATATAGAACTAAAGAATTAATTAAAACTTTTAAAGTATGCATTGTAATTTTTTTTTTCTTTTTGTAATAGTGTTTAAAAATATACTGCCAGAAAATAAAATTTAAACATTTTCTGCAAGCATAACCTCTGCAAGCAATTTATTTACTCTTGTAAGTAATTTCAACTTTCCCCTGATTTCCTTACCACCAAATTTTGATGAAACTGGTTAGAAAATCATTGATTTTCTTTAAAGTGTTTAAATGTTTAAAAACTATATTCACTATACTAGCATATATTTCTTTAAATTTAATGAAAAAATCTCTAAAATTGACTGTGGGTTGTATACGGAAATTCTGACATTTTTTTTCTTCTTTTTGGCGGTGAGTATGGTAGCAAGGTATAACTATTTCATGTAGGGGTGTGGGGTCATTGTTTAGTACAGGTTTTGGCTCGGGGTGGGTGAGGGAAAGGGAATCTTTTTCTTCTGTCTATTGTGTTAGCCCTAGAGTGAAGAGAAGCTACCCTCCCTGAAATGCACTATTCTTGTTTCATTAGCAGCATACAGCCTCAGACATTGTGGCGGGGGCATTTCTTACCGTAGACAAATTATATCTGAATAGTCAGGGGTGTCTGTTTAAAAGAAAAACGGACTCTTCACAAAATATCTTTTCATAAAAACGGACCCTTCACAAAATAATTTATCTTTTAATCAGACCCTTCACAAATTTGTTTATCTTCATTATTGTTTTGTTAATCGAATAAACCCTTCCCAGGAAAAGAGGAAAGAAAGACAGATGTAAACGAACTAAGTTTTGTCTTCAGCAGTCGTTTCTTCCTTTATTCGTCCAAAATGAATATTCTGCGTTCAGCAGTATAGGCTAAATACCTGTTTGTATGTTGTATCTCAAATATAGTAACAGCAATTGCTGTTTATTTTTTAAAATTTAATTTTTTTTAATTATAATTTTACAGTGTTGAGCATAATCTTGTATGTCTTTACAATTTAAAAACTCCTTGAAAAAGTTTTTTTTTTTCAAANCATGGCATAGAGCACTGGCCTTCCAGCAAGGTGACCCTTGTTTGATCCCTATAGTTAGGTCGAGAGAGCATTTCTAGGTTTGGACACATTGATGTAAACTTCTTGCATATTTTACCATATCTTGAGGAATTTTTTAACAGATTGAAAAAATTTTTTTGCACAAATATAAAATTGAATTAACTTATAAAATGAATCTTGTAACTGTGTGCAGAAAGTAAAATTAACATTAAAGGGAACCAAACTATTGGGACAATATTTCCCAGATTGCAGCTGGCTACATCCTATATTTTAGGGGACAGAAATCTGAATCCACTGAAAAAAATATTTTTCGTAGCTTAAAATATCGTCGGGACTAATTAATTAACCTATTTGAGGTCACCCCCTCATACCCTTAAGATTGAGTCCTAGAATGTGAAGATCCGATCATTTGATCGAAAGTAATTCAGGGTGGTTCGTTTTTTACTTTGCCCACTGTACACTCACTAAAAATATTTAAATAATTTTAATAGTAAATGTTATCAATGAAAAATTCACTTTAAGTTTGTTTTTTTATCAGGCTTCAGATTTTTCAGTATTTTTTTACAGAATTTAAATTTTTTAAGTAGTGCTTTCAAAGTTTTTTTGTGTACTTGTGCATTAATATCTAAAAACATGTGGATAAATTTGTATCTCAGTATCATTTCTGTATTTTTCGATCCGATTGGATCACATATCAGTTTTATGTCCAAAAAAATTTTGAAATACATTCTAATTTAATGTTGTATATGATTTAATTTTCAGGCCATTTTATAAATCCATCAGTACCACAGAATATCAGTAGTAGTCTTCAGCCATCTGCTCATTACATTAAACCAAGAGCTTATTTCCCCACTTCACAAGCCATGGCCATGCCTAGCAACGGGATACTAAGCAATGGAGTACATGATGATTACCCACATGGTTGTGGTGAGTTCTTTATTTTTTAGTAATCACATCCCATATGCTGCTTGAGTTAAAATGTTATGAGAAGCTAGTAGTATGATTATTAATTTGCAAATGTAATATTACCCATCCCGAGAATGCGTCAAAACTTTTATTTGCTGTTGTGTATAAGTAAAATTGCTAATTTATACAGTTTAAGCAAGAAAGAAGCATTTATTCAATATGATTTCAAATTTAATTTCATTTTAAAAATAAGCATTAAAATATTTGTGATGATTAATAAAACAAACAAGATTAGAGTTGTAGACAGTGCTTTTCAATAAAGAATAAAGTGCTTTTCTAAACTTGTAGATCAAAAAAAGAGAAAAAATCTTGGGAAGGAAAACATTAACTAGTTAGTTTTTTTTCTAGAACCCTAGAATTGTTAATGCTGTCGTTTGCTGCAGAGTATTTAATTGTAATGCAAATTAGATTTTTGCGTACATAATGTTATCAAAAGGAAAATTCACAAAATGATCTTAAAGCAATGATTATTTCTTTAAAATTTGTTATATACCATCAAAATGAAATTTTATTGTAACCTATACATAATACTTTATATGTTTTCCTGTATGTATCGTCTTGTTCTAACGGTTCAGAAACAAATACTATTCTTATAGTGTTAATAATACCCGTTTAGATTGTTTTGGAAACAAGCAAATTTCCGCATCTATACATTCAGAAATACTATACCTAGTATAGAGCGTTTACCTTTCAATGAGGTGAATCGGGTTCGAATCCCAGTCTATACGAATTCCACATTCGGCTCGCACAGACCACAGTGCTGACGTGAAATATCCTCGTTGGTAGACAGATCGTGGGTTCCAACCCACGATCCGTCAACCACGTCCCCTTGCCGTCAGGCTAACTATGGGAGGTTTTTCTCTCCATATAACGCAAATGCGGGTTAGTTCCATCAAAAAGTCCTCCACGAAGACAGAAATTTCTCCCAATGCTTGATCCAGGAGTTCCCTTGTCTTCTGGATTGGGTTCAAAATTACAAGGCTGTGTAGTTGAACATTAGTAGTTATAAACCGAAAAATTAGGTCAGCTGTTATAAAAAAAAAGTTTAAAGTTTATCTTCTGGCATTTTATAGGTTGAAATTTGAATTAATAGATGTTAACATTTGATTTTCAGAAAAATTGTATGGGCAATTGATATATCCTCACAGAACCCCAGATTTTCACCCTGAAGTGGCTAGGTTACAGCAGCAACAGCAACCCAGCGTTATTATGCAAGCACCTCCATCACTACAACCTGTTGAACCTTCTTCTTTCATGCAGATGATGAAACTGGCTGAAAGTGAGAATGCAGATTCTGAACAAAGAAGGTTCATCATGACAGACAAATGCTGAGTTTTTATTATTTTGAAACTTTAATCAGGGACGAGATTTTGTTGTTTACCCATGTTATCATTTCAGAGATATATTTATATCTTTATTGTTTTATTTCTATCCTTTGTTTTTCATTTTATCGGAGATGCCAATTAAGATTGTTGTGTGTTCTTCATTTTCTCATTTTCTTAAAAATTGATTTCTTTTTTTTAAATAAAAAACTTTAAATAAATTGTTCCATTAGAATTGAATTGATAATCTTATTATTAAATCATCTATTAAATCAAATTTTGAAGTTATAGAGTCTGTATCTTATAAATGTTAAAAAAATTTTATTTTAGGGAGACCAGCTACGTCAATGTCGTCAAATATATAAATTCAGTTTTTTTTTTTTTTTTTTTGGATTTTGTATTAAAGNAAGAGTTTTTGCTGTTTTAGCATCACTTCAAACAGAAATGTGTAACCATATAAAGTCAGGGGTCTGCATAGAGTAAATTTACTACTGTTTAGCTGTCTTCTCTCAAGTTCAGAGAAACAGTAGTTTTACAAATAAAAAGCTGTTTCTAATGCAAACGCTGTTCTCGTTGCAATTTGTAGAAAAGAGGAGCTTTTCTGCCACCTGTCTTTGATAAAAAGGTAGCACGTGTTTGGTCAGATAGTGCAATATGCTAAGCCTAACCAGTCGCTTACGCCAAAGCAATGGAATCGCCATATGGAGAAAAATGTATAGAAATTTACCAGTCAAAAATGATTTTTATTTTGTAGTGACAATTTTTGAAAATATTTTCTTACTTTACCATATTTTATGTTAATTTTTTAATTTTCACAAATTATGCCTCAATTTTTGCGAAATAAGTATCTCTTAAAAAAACCTAGACAGGCCCCTGAAAGTATATTCTTTAAAAAAAGACAAGTTTTTTTAGTAATTGCATTTGCTTGCTATATTAAGGGTTTTAAAATATTCTTAATTTCAACAGAAATAGCATGTTCAAAATCACCTGAAATTTTTAGATAAAATACAGCAGAAGACTAAGAAACAATTTTTTCCACTTAGAATAAATAATGACTGCAAGAATTTTATTATAATTCATTTGATACTTTAGTATGTGAAATGAAAATTGTAGGAGACAAAATTCAACTTTGAGTTTGACTTTGTTTTTAAATTTTCACTTTTGTTTTTGTATTCTGAAAAATCCAAAAGCATTATTAGATATTTAAAAAGGCTTGAATTGAACATACATCAACTACTATTGCAATTTTGGTAACTGAAATTTTGTACAACGATGCATTTAATATAAATTTTAAAAAATCTAATAGTTTCTTAAAAAATGCTTTGTAAAATTTTTTAATCATTTTCTTTATAACTATGAATTCTGGTACAATCATATTAATATTCATTCCCCTTTCTGATTATTTTATGTTTTAATCATTTGTACACATTTTTTTTTTATTGTAAGAGGGAAAAAATGCTGTATTCTACCAATAACTACTCATTAAAAAAGGATTTTTTTTACTGAAATAAGAAACGAAATTTTTCAAAATCCATTTTTTAAGAAACAATTCAAACAATTGTTGTTCACTTAATTAAATTAAATTTTGTTTCCAGTTGGCATCTCTGGTTTAAGTTGTGATCCTGATTTATTTTAATAATCTTTATTACAGAATAAGTTTTGTTATTTCTTTTTTTTTTACATTGAAAATTGTTGTTTTTAATTCTTAGTCATTGTTAAATTCTTTAAGAGTTTCTACGTACTGTTGTTAAAAACTGATTTTGAGACTAATGTAGACTAATAATGCGTTTTCAAATTCTTTTCTATGCACAGTGGTTTTGTTGAATGCTAGTGGCTCTGCTTGAGCAAAATATAAAAGATTTAGCAATATGCATTCCAATCAAAAGGAATGTATGTGATCTTGATTAGATTCTAATATCTGTTAATAGTTTAGGGCATATTTTGTACATATGTTTTATTATAATTGAAACTTGTTAAAAATAACTTGGAAATTTACCTTTTTATTGGTAGAACTTTATTTTTATGCATAAAAAAACATAAAGGATCCTGTTTTAAATGTTATGTTGGTCATGTTTAAAATAAAAGAACTGTTATTATAGTTATTAAAAAAGTGTTAAGAATAATTTATAAACTTTTGTATAAAATTTGTTTTATTGCGATAAAAACTTTTTAAAACTAATACATTGAACTTCATGGTGTCTAAAAATTAGCTAGGAAAATTATTTTTTTATTGGTAAAACTTTAAACTTAAAAGTATCCTGATTTATTGGAGATGTTTAAAATAAAAGAGCTGTTTAGTTATCAAAAAAGTGCTAAGAATAATTTATAAACTTAATTTGTTTTATTTTTTAAAATAAACTATTGACACTTCATAGTGTCTAAAAATTTACATGGAAATTTACCTTTTTATTCATAAAACTTCATTTTTACCTACATAAAACTCAAGGAATTTTGTTTTATTGAAGATGTTTAAAATAAAAGAACTGTTGTTATAGTTATAAAAAAATATCAAGAATAATTTATAAACTTAATCTGTTTCATTGCGATTAAAAAACTTGTTAAAAATAAACCATAGACACTTCATGATGTCTCAAAAATAACTTGGAAATTTACCTTTTTAATAATAGAATTTTATTTTTTCCTATATAAAACTTAAAGGATCCTGTTTTAAATGTTATTGGAGATGTTTAAAATAAAAAAAAACTGTTATAAATATCAAAAAAGTGCTAAGAATAATTTATAAACTTAATTTGTTAGATCACAATGTATAAGCTTTATAAACTCAAGCTCTTCTATATGCCAAATGTTATTAAAAAAAATAAGAGCTTAAAAATTATATATTGCACATGCTTAGGAGGTTAGTTTCATACTTGTATTAGGATTGAATGATATTTTATGCCAAGAGCTTTGAATATTTTTGTGCTATCACTTACATGTTAAAAGTTTTGAAAAAAGCAATATTTAAAATTTTACTTCAGTGTAATGATTGAAGTGCTTAACAAATATTTTATTAAAGATTAATAAATGTAAATCATTATTTTGTGAAACATATTTACTAGTCATGTCGACAGAGTAAAATTTATTATCTTTTTTTATGTTTTTAGATTATCAAAAGTACGAACTTGTTTAGATTTTTAAAACATTTACTGATGTTGTACTTAAAACTGTTTTCCTAGAATTCCATGGCCTAAACAGAGTAATGGCAATTTTGAAGTAGCTTGTTAAAAAGTACTGTTATGAAATGAATAATCAATGATCCTGCTTGCTCACTTTGCATCAAAATCATGTTGACTCTGTTGAACTATGATTCATTTAGTTATTTCCAAGCCAATAGACATGTAACTATGATTCATTTAGTTATTTACAAGCCAATGGACATGTAACTATGATTCATTTAGTTATTTACAAGCCAATGGACATGTAATTATGATTCATTTGGTTTTTTAGAAGCTAATGGATATGTAACTATAATTCATTTAGTTATTTACAAGCTAATAGACTTGTAACTATGTCTTAGTTATGCAATTATAAATTGATTCGGATATTTTTAGTCTTCAAAATTGCTTATTGGAAATCTAAATTTTTATTAATATTTTTGGCATAATATAACTTATTTTTAAAATCTAATTATTTTACAAAGTGCATGGTTAATGAAAGAAATTTTCGATATAAAAGATACTTTAATTCAGCAAAACAAATTTTAAAAGCAAGGAAAAGAAAAGCATTTCAATCTTTAGATGCACTCAATAAGGGAAAAATTTTGTTCTTAGCCAATCACAGATTGATATTGAGTTATTCTCAAAACTATGTTTAGTTCTAGGGAACTCTAGGTTTATAGTGAAGCAGAAAGTGCTGTATTTTTGAATTATGAAGGACGTTATTTTGTATTTGAAATGAAAGAATTTCCCATTCCATTCTGTTGTATTGAAAAATAAAAGTGGCTTTAAAAAAGTATAAATGATATTTTAAAGATGTACAGTAAAGTATTTTAATGCTTTATTTTAAAGAAATAAAGTACAATTATATCTCTGAATTTTCTCATATTTCTTTTTAACCATACTGCCCACACAATTTTTACGATGTTCATTTTTGACAGGAATATTCCTATGAAAAACTAAGTGATATTTGTCGAAAATTAGGAGACAAAGCTTTAGAAAATTAGGTACTTGTAATGACTAGTTTTTTTTATTAATAATTTTTTCCCCACCTTTAAAACCTTTGTGCAATCAATTCCACATACAAACCATTTTTTACTTTTCATTAATGTCTGTTTTTTCTAAAGCTTAGTAATTCACTTTTCTTTTATATCTCATACTCTAACTTGTGTTTGACTTAGGAATGCTAACTCTGCATTATAGCACTGCACATAAGTACATCTTATGCATATTTTTTAATTTATATAACACAAGAATGAATTTAAAAAATAAAATAATATCAAATGTTACAATCAGAAATTATTCTCATTGAGAGGTACTTGTATTAAAATTTCTAAAAAAAATTTAATTTCAAGCATAAAAACAAAATATCAGAAATAAAAGAAAAATAATTATTGTCATGATACATAATTATTAAAATAACAGTGATACCATTAATTTAAAGTCAGTTAAGCTTCTAAAGATTCTCCAACAACTTATAATAAATATGGAGATATTTTTGTTAAAATTTTAGCCATACCAATACACTTCTCATATACCAATATGAGAAGTGTAGTAAGTTTTGTAAAATTTAAGGTTGGATTAAAATTTTGTTTCTGAACCAATTAACTATATTTCTAAAATATACTTCGTTATTTTTAAAATTAAGCTTCCTACATTAAAAAATTATGTAAATTTACATATTTGCTTTTATTTTGAAGAAGTTGAGCATTAATAGTTAATGATAACTTTGAATTATAACCAACAAAATATTTTGCATGTCATGATACTCCAAAATAAAAGATGTACAAACAAAAATAGAAATGTTAGGAAAAATAAAGATTAAAATTTAATCCAAGTTTTATGTTTTTTTAGTATGATGCAACGAAATTCAGCTAGTTACTAGCGAGTATTCTGATTGGAGCTCCACTCTAAAAAATTAATTGGCTATACCAAAAGTAATTAGTATACAAAGGTTTTCTTGTAAATTTTAATCTAACTTTCGCTTAAAACAAATAGTGAGTTCTAACTTGATT